ACCATAACAATGATTGTGAGAAAGACTACTAGAAAATTGACTATGTTTTCTACAGTTAGACTAAATAGATATGAATTAGAGACATTGCGGGACCATTTCAACAAGAATGGGACAATATCTGCCTACATAGATGGTATAGAATTGTGAGCATCTTTATCAATTAGCAGTCTGCTTTTGTGTAATCTGTGCCATCAATAATGAAATAAGGCGTTTCTAGAATAAGAAAGTATCAATATGACCATCCAACAAAGAAATGTCTTTACAGATTGATCTCAATGAAAACACTGAGACTAACAACATTCAAGTGTATGCATGGTTTGTGACTATGATCTGTTAACCATAGTCTTAGAATTTGTAGTTAATTCATATGGCATTGTTATTTCTAATGTTGTTTATATTCTCTGTTCTACTGGGTTGTTTTTTTTTTAGAGTGCTTATCTGGTACAGTTTCTTCCAACTTTACTTCTATGGATTTTCTCTGCTCTGCTACCCAGTATAGTTTATTGGTCTGATCAGATCATTGGACATTGGACTAAGTAAGTCTAGTAAATATTTACCTTTTTTATTCTGAAAGGAGGAAAAACCCTCAAAGTGACTGTATTTTCAATAGAGCTCATCCTAGAGCACATCCCAGGTCATCAATATGCCAACAAACACTTAGTGCATTAGGCCTACAATTTTTTTTAAACTGTTAATTCTTAAAATGAGGATATAAAATTAATATGAGTTACCATATGATACAGTGTCACCTTGACATACAGATTGACACTTTAAATTACCTTGAATTCTTAAATTCCATTATTTGTGCTTACAGAACTGCTGAACATCATGCAATCATGAGGAAAACATTTATATTTATTTTATTTATGGTGCTGATACTACCGTCACTTGGACTTACCAGGTAATTATTTATTTGAGCATCATAACAGCTTCATCTATGTACTTTTCTAAGTTTTGTATTCAAAATAAGAAGATCTTGAAAAATGTAGATTTTGTTTAGTTTTGTTTTCTTTCCATCTTTCAGTGCAAAAGCTTTGTTTGAATGGATAGTGATGAGTAAAACCAGAAGTCTCCAGTGGCAGTAAGTTCCTCAATTGGGTTTATTGTCTAGAAACAAGATGTCTTATTTTTAGGTTTAAAAGCTTGCACTGTAAGAAAAATAAGTTGTTCTAAATGTATTCTTCTGGGAGATGCATGCCATATTTCTCTTTTTCAACATTGTTTTTCTCTACACTTACATGAAACAATTATTTTGCAATTGAACTTGGCTTGTCTCGGCTACCTAGAAGGGGGCTCGAGGTTCGAAACCCGACTCGGGCAGAGTTGCAATAACTGAGCGCCTAAAGGCAGCACGGAAAACCAACTCATAGATACCCCCTCCCCCCCCCCCCACGAGTCCACAAATGAGATTGGACCAAAGCGCTCTGAGCATGCTATAAGCATGAAAGTAGCGCTATATAAAAGCTATAATAATAAATAAATAATTAGAAGCAACCTGAGTATAAACTCTTTCAACGTCTTATTATATTCTTAGTCTCACAGAATTATCTGAATGCTTCTCTTTTTTTTTTTTTTTTTTTGATATGTATTTTCTTAAATAATATGTTGTCTTTCCTATAAAATGAAGTAAATTCAAATTATATATATGGAATTGAAAAGCATTGAGTTCCCATTAAAGATTCTGATTTTATTGTTATAATACTTTGCCAATTTGTTTAATAAAAGAGAATTTTTTTTTTTAAATTGTAGAAACTTTATATCACACATTAAAAGAAAATAAAAAAGACTTATGAATACACTCTATTTTATTTTTTAAAGTTTCAAAATAGTGCATATATATCTCCAATTCTAAACAGAAATCTTTAAAGAATTGAATTTAATATAAAGTTCTGTTTTTTATTGAACTTTTTATGTAACTAGTCACTCTATTAAAAAATTAGTGCTGAGATAAAATACACACCACATAGGTAGAAATGCATTCTTTCCTGTCTAAGAAAATATATACATTGTATATGGAATTGTTGATAATTAAATTTCATGTAAGATTCTTACTTTATTCTGATCATAATTTATCAATTTGGAAGACAAATCTGAGTATTTATGAAGAAAGGAAAATTGTTTTTCAAAAAAGGAATAAAATAATTCTAGACACTGATATTTCAAAAAATATCAAGTAATCTGTCAATATATATCCGATTTCCAACATAGAAAAGTTTCAGAAATACATTTTTTGAAAATAGTAAATTTGTTTTAGATTTTTTAAAATAGCTACATCATTTAGGCTCAACAAATTGAAATTTACTTATTTATGGCAGGTAGTACAAATACACAACATTTATTTGATTGTTTTAAATAAACTGTTTTACTTACAAAATTATATTAAGTATACATTTTATTTAATAAACTGTAATATCTCTAGGTGCATATTTCTGCCTGGTAATGGCTCCTTTTTTGTCAACTACATCATTACATCAGCCTTTATTGGTGCTGCCTTAGAGCTTCTGCGCTTCTCTGAGCTTTTTATTTATGGAGTCAAGCTGTTGTTTGCTAGGTCTGCCGCAGAGAGAGCTGCTGTCAGAAAAGTAAGAAAGCATTTAGTTCAATTAAAAAAGAAAGAAAAAACTGATAAGATTCCTAATACTAGTTTAGTTTTCATTTTAATAGTATTTTAAGCTGTTTGTATTTATAAAGTATAACAGTATCTGTGTGTTTTTGTAAATTTATATCAATTATGAAATTGGTGGTGTTTAATTTTGTATTGCAAAATATCTTATTGTCTAATGTAAATGTAAAGTAAATAATATTGTTAGTTTCATTAAAACTTTTTTTTTTCTAATTGACTGATGTTACCTAAAAAATTATACATTCCATACATTTAATTGAATCTTGAAAAACAAAGGAGCTTGCTTCTCCAGTTAACACTTATTATTATTAACTGTTCTATTCTCACTTTCAGTCAGTGCTTTGGGACTTTCAGTATGGTGTTCAGTATGCTTGGATGCTGTGTATGGTGGCTATAATAGTTTCGTATAGCATTCCTTGCCCACTGGTCACTCCCTTTGGTAAGTCGTATTGTCTTTAAAATCTTTCTGCATTTCTACAAAACTATGGTCATTCCTTTGAAAACTATTGTTGTGATTTTGTTGCAGGATTAATCTATCTGCTCTTCAAACATGTGGTGGACAGGTACAACATTTTTTTTGCTTATAGTTCATCACGCATCAATAAACACATTCATGGTTCAGCTGTGACATTTGTGCTATGGGCTGTTATACTGCTACAATTCAATGTGGTGTTTTTCACTGGGTTGAGGGCAGGTAAGCGATCAGTTTAAATAGAGCTTTGCACTGAAATTAAAAAAGGTATGATTCCATTACAAGTGAACATCCTTGATATATCACTATATTATCACTATCTTTACAAAAAGATAACAGGTCATTTAATAAGTATAAATACACAATGGTCTGCATTCCAGTGCTGGAAATTTATTACTGATAAATACACAATGAAGACTAAAAAAAAGGTATTTGAACATCTTTATTTGTTTAATTTTCTTTGAAGAGCACTTGTGGTCCCTAGTGGATTGATATGACACTGACTGTTATGTCTGTAAAAGATCTTTTATAAATGGTAAGATGCTCCGCAAGGCCCCTTTTGAAAGAAAATATAGAGAATAAAAGAATTATATCAAATCTAAATAACCACATACTCACCAAGCTGGGTGGATTAGACCTTCCAGATAGTACCTTTGAATTTAATGAGTCATTTATTATTGATGCATAAGGGGATAAGGCTTAACTTCAATATAGGAGAATGTTAGCATTTCACCCCTGGTCGCAATGCTGGTTAGTATCTTTGAATCCAATAAGACATGATATATAGATGTTCCTCAGTAAAAAATTTTATTCTTACCCTATAGTAAATCTGTTTAATTGAAGTATTAATTCAGGCATAATATCAAAATAATTATAATAATAATCATTTTTTCTTGTGTACAGAAGGTTTTGATCCAGTGTTTATCTTCTCTTGTGTTGCCCTGTTCATCACTTTGATCATTTTTGTTGGCCGCATTAGCTTTGGATGGTTTAAACACTTGCGACGACCACGGTATAGGGTAAGCTTTTTAATGGAGGAACTATTCTGTAATTATTGTTTTATAGGAATGCCCTGATATTTTGATGAAATAAAATTTGAATGATTGAAAAAAAAAAATTTTAATTTGTGTTCAATATGACAGGATGTTTTAATCATTTCTATTAATTATTTTGTTTTAGAACTTTGAAGAAAGTGAACCTGACTCAATGGTGAATAGTGATGATACTCTAGACACTCACATCTCTAAGGTAATATCTGAGTTTACTTATTGCTAATTTTTTTTTTATATATTAATACATTTACTTTTCTTTTAAATTGCCTCTAATGCTCATCATAAAATATAAAAAGTAACTCATTTATTAGCAGTCTTAGTCTCAATATAGTCTAAATAGTCAGTGCTCAAGATTTTGTACATTTTTTTCTCATTGAAAGTAAAATGATTTTTTGTTTTCCTCTTTACTGTAGCCTTTTGTAGCCACTGTACTGACTCAAGATCTCTCCCTGGAACATGAACAGAGCAGTTCTTCTCATACCTCTGGCTATGGAGCAACACACAGCACTCTTGGTCAGGAGGACTTCTCCAGTATCCCTCAGTCCCCTCTCTCTCAGATCTCTTAGTGACCTACTAACACAAAAATGTCATAGTGACCTAGTACTGTCTCTCTAAGCTCTGAGTTTCATTCTTGTCAAATGTTTCAATTTTTTTGGTCTTAATTGTGATAGTTTCAATGTTATTGATGTTTCTTACTGACAGACATTATAGATCTTCTTATTGTTTCTTCATTATTTTTTTTTATTTGTGCAGAATTTTTTTCAAAGAGACATTTTTCTTCATAAGAATGTTAAACTAATTTTAAAAAGATTATCTTTCAAGATATAAAATCTGAGGATTATGGAAAATATCTTTATTGTCTTCTACATTTATAAATCTTGAATTGGAATGTTTTCATATTGACTGCTGGGTTTCATTTTGTTTTGTTTTTTAATAAATTTCTTTTTTTTTTCAATTTATATTTCTGGCCAAGACTAAAATTATAAATTATTTTCATCATTATTTTTGTTACATTACGAATCGTTTTAATCTTAAAAAAAATTATAAGAGAATTTGTATATTATTGTAGTTTCAGAAATATGACGCATATCTTACCTCTTCATTAATACCAAGCCTATTTAGTTTTTCTATCTATACTTTATATAAATTGTCAGGCTTAAAAAATGTTTGTTAAGATTGCAAAGTTGATTATATTTTCATGTAAGTCAAGTAGGTGCGTTTGAAATATAAATGCATTCACTGCTCATATCTTTATATATATTTTTTGGTGTCTTTGACTTTGATTTGCTTGTTTCAGAATCAAAAGGAATTTTGACCAAATCCTGTTACATGATGCATAACATTTCCCTTGCATTACTATTTGTTGGCCTTGTACAATGGGTGTTTTTAAACAGTGTAAGAATCATAGTATTGCTTAAACATCCATAGACATTATAGTATTTCGTATATGACAGTAACTATTGAGACACAAGGTATTGCAATAAAGGACTTTGTGTTGATATGCTACACAACAAGATCATGTAGTGACCAGTAACGTACTTGAGTGCAATTATCTGGCAAATACCTTCTGAACTCTCAATTTGGTTCTGTTCTTTCAAATGTTCATTGCTTGCCATTGTGTGAATTTTTTTGTAAAGTGTTAGAATGGTCACATTAATAAATAATTCATATTTATGTATTGGAATATATAGCCATACTATAAATGAGCAGTATAATAATTAATATTCTTTAATGTATGGTGTTGTATTGCTGTGTTTAAAAAAAATATCATGAAGTCTGTACAAATGGGAAAAAATGTTCTAGTCTATATAAAATAATTATTTATTAGGTGGGAAAAACAATTGCATATATATATATAGATATGTTGTGAATAAATGTTTTGAAAAGATTTTTTGGTTTGTTTTTCAAATCACAAATATATATTCTATGCTATTGTCACATAGATAATTGCATTATAGCTTTTTGAATTTTTGTTTCTTAAACCTTAATAACTAGGGTGACATCATTTATATTTTTTTTTTACCTAAAATTAAATGAATTGATCACATGACAAATATCAGCTTACAGTAAATCCTGACTTGTTTTGTGCTTTGAAATAATTGTTTTTTACTTGTTAGAATGAATATTTTTTTATCACAATTTTAGTTCACAGGGAAACATTTATATACAGGAAAACGGCTGAAGAAAAGTACAAGACTAATCAGTCAAACTAAAAACCTTGAAATCATTTATAAAAGGGATTATTTTTAAAGTCAATGGATTGATAATGTAATTTTTTCAAATGAGATGTAACTGTCAATACGTGGTCATTACATTGTGTACATTTGTTTGTTGAATCTCAGAAACATTCTAATACATGTATCCTGTCTGATGTTGTGATATCTACCTTTTGCTAACAAATACGAAAAGTAATTAATTACATTATTTCAAAGAGGTTGAGTCATAATAGTGATAGGTCTACTGGTAGTTAGTTACCTTTTTGAATCACAATTGTGATAGGTTTTTGTTTATTTCTTTTGTTGTTTATGTGTTTCTTCAAAAAGTCAATGTTTTCTTCTCTACATGTTTGTGTCTGAAGGCATAAGAGCAGCACTAAAGGCACCATCTTGATTTTGTTTGTTTAGCTCTCAGTGTACTTCATTTCATAATAAATGTATTGTCTTAGTCTAGACATGTAATAAAATAGTTGTCATATCCTTATAACTGAGATCATTCTTGTCCTTCTGTTTCTGCCCCAGTAGAGAAATAAACTATGTTCTTTTTACACACAAACATTTTACAGAGAAACAAACTAATAATTATTTTAGCTAAGCACTATATGGAATGTTCAGATTGCTTTGATGTTTGAATCCTTTTATTTACATAAGTGTTATCGGAAGACATAAACATATTTAAAACATTTGTTTCTTATTGACCAAAATTCATTTTATCAAAAGCTACCTTTTGTTTGATCACAAACTAGTTTAATTTCTAACATGTAAATGTAATCACTAATACATATATATAATAATAAACCTGAATGTAATACTTAGTTTAGTCAAGACAAATCTTATACTATAATTTTGTTATGACTTGATTCTATTCTTGATGTTCTACACACAAGTTTGTGTTTTGCTTTGTGCCATGATATAATTGAACAAACATTGTAGAGTGAGCACCTCCAAGATTATTCAATTAATTTATTGTAGAACTAATTTTACTGCATAACTTTCACACAAACTCTGCTTATGAGAAATGAGATTGTTTCCAATATGTAGGTCCAGCACTTGATTTATTAGAATAGTAATGCTAACACTAAGTGATTAAAACAACAATGTAATCTTGCCATAACTAGTTTTCATTGTTTTTTAATCTTTCATCCTTACCCACAACTCGCCTTAATTAATTGTTTTAAAGAGAGAAGTGGAGGGGGTGTGTATTCAATTGCCTCTGTTAGTATTTAAATGATTTTCTCATTGTAAGTCATTACTAGTGCCCAAAGTGAAGCTTGCAAGGTGTTACTAATTTGCCACTGTTGTCATTGTATTTGCCATAATTAAACACTGTATTGTGGGTGAATTCTAAGTGTAAATAAAATATATTGAAACATTCATTGTATATTCGTTAATGTGGTTGTTTTTAAATGTTTTTTGTTAGAGAAATATGTTGACTCTAAATTGTGAGCCACTTATCTTTCTCTGCATCACATCCAAAGTACAATAAACATGATGGCATTATTGAAGCATAGGAAGAATTTCTTTACCCTCTTGTGTGGTGACTTTTCTGACATTTAGAGCAAAACATGATTCACTTCAATAAACAATTCCTATACCCATAATTCTGTATCCTGATAACTGTATACAATTGTGTTAAATACTCATCTAGTCTTGACACTTTCGCACATCTGCAAAACCACCTTGATTTAATTGATAAGAATAACTGAAATCTTGGATGTTTCAACACTTACCAAAGCTTCGCAATAAGCTGAACAAGTTATTTGATGTATTGCTTGTCTTACAACCCAAACACCAATATATGATATTTTTCTTTGGTATTCTTGTAGCTAGGGTGAAACAAATAGCAAGAATTATATAAAAAAAAAAGACAATTAACATATAAGTATTCATCTGTCACACCTCTATACTTTATAAATACTTTATGAAAAAAAGAGACATTTACAATCTTTACAAATGTGCTATTGTATAGACATATCACATGATTTAGTAAACAAAAGACAAATTTATCAAAAGTATCAGGTATGGTGATACTATGCATCTACTAGCTCATAAAATCTCATAGATTTGATCCCACTTTAGCCTCCAATCATTGCAAAGAAGATCAATAAATCAACAAATATATTTTATTAAATCAAAAAAACAAAATAACGCATGTCTATGTATGTAAAAATCTGGAATAAAATTTTTAGTTAGTTATTTTATTGTTTTACCAGCTCTTTAAAAAAGAATATTTTTTAAGTTGGCTAGTGACAATTTGTGAACCCCAAATTTTGTTGGATTTGAAATAGTTTAAAAAAACACTTTCACTGTTCAATAGAATCCACTAACTGAAGTGTGCCTAAAAAGTTACAACTAATAAATACTGTACTTAGCATAGAGTTTCTTTAATTTTCAAAATGCATGATGTAAATCATTAACAAGTCTATTATTGTATGAAATAATTGTTTAACATATTTATAGACAAGTAAAAAGCGTTCACCCTCATATATCCGAATGTGCTATTGACAAAGTCATAAACATCAGGGCTCTATTCTTTGATTATTTTTTTCTCATAACTTGTATTCATTTGTTTAGGGCAGTGGTTCTTAAACTGTAGCCTGTGGACCTGAGACAACTGAAGAAGGTTTGCAGAAAGATGAAACTTGTAGACAATTAAAATAACTTCACTAAAAGATAGTTTATCCAAAAGGGTAATTTGAATGATAATCAAATCGCACCTCACAACTGTTTAATATGAGTATTATGTATTTTTCTATGATGACCTAATGATTTGAAGACATTCTTCACTTTGTTATTATGGTATTGAGTCCTTTAGCACATTGACAAACTCAGATCCCAATCACAGATAAATCCATAATAAGCAGGAGCAGCTTTTTTAAGGGTAGGGGAAACAGAGACCAAATTTTTTATTTGTGCTTCAAATCTAATGATATTATACAGGAATGTTATGTATGAGTACCCTATCAAAAATCTAAAAAAAAAAGGTTGAAAATATTGTTGCTATGGCCATTTTGTATTGTAAACATACTCTTATATAAAAGCTATCTACTTGTGCATTTCTTATTATTTTCTTTTTGAAAATTTGCAGGAATGTAGGCAAATATAATAGCTATTGAAGTATCAGATTACATTTTTAAATTTTTGGATATTTTGTTTTTTAGAATTTTTTTCCTGCCCTGTCTATACATACAAGTGTTTTTTAACAAGAAAAGTGTAAAAATTTTTAACATTACCCCCAATTATCAAAAAAGTAATCTGATACTTCTATCAGTACAAGACATAAAACTAAAACATTTGTTGACGGCCATCATGACAAAATAATTCACAAACAAAGCAAGACATTATACTTCGCTTTTGAACTGTAGGTCTAGGGTTAGGGCTTTTGAATGACAACTACCGGATATGTACAATATGTCAGAAGAGCGATTTTAGATAATCTTTTGGTATTGAGCATTTTCATTTAGGCCTAAATGGAACTAGAATGAGGATGTAAATCTACCTAAATTAAACTACTAATTTAGCACTCTCAATATCTATATCTACTAGATCTAGATCTAAAATATATATTTGGGATAATGTAGATGTAATTTAGATAAGATTTAAATTAAAAAAAACACACTAGATAATCAATTAATAGACTAATTGCAATATGAAATATTTAAATAGTAGATTAGTTTTAGTATTTTATAACATTGCAATATTGCCAATATTGACATATGGACAATCTAGACTTTAGAAATAAAAATCTACACTTTAAGCCTAGAAATTAAAATTATAGATCTTGATCAAGTCTAAATCATGGCTGTCTGGTAGTGCGGTTTGCTCGCTGGGCTGTCGTTTGGATTCATCGATGGTCACAGGTTCAAACCCTGCCCGCTCCTATCCCCCGTCGTCCTACGGGAGGTTTGTACTACAACTCTGAAGGAACATCCGAAACATGTAAAACAACAAATATTCTAAACTAGACCAAGAAATTCTAGATCTAGATTCTACAATGATTTTATTTAAAAATCTAGCTCTAGTGTAAAAAAAAATCTAGATCTAGTGTAAAAAATCTAGCTGTAGTGTAAAAAAAATCTAGATCTAGTGTAAAAAAATCTAGATTAGATCTAGCTATTATGTCTTTTTGAAATGCGAGTCACATTACGAGATTTCATAAACATTACTATACCGAGTTGTTTTAGCATATACATAAATAGAGCTAAACTATTTTTCAAAAAAAATCCGGAACCAATTTTCGTAAATTATTTGTTTTATTTATTAGAAGAGGGATTTCAAACATTTACTAGCGTTATTAGATTTTTCATATAAAATTCGGATCATTTTTGGCGACGATTTCTAAAAAAAATTAAGATCGATTTCTTTTTCGAAACAAAATCCGGAACATTCTTTACCGATTAAACAACTTTTATTATGTTTCGTCAAGAAAATTAACTGTAAAATAAGTCTAAAAAGTGATTTTCAATAATCGTGTCTAGTAAATTACTTTCTTATTTTAAAATCTTGAATAACCTAATGTCGATATTTTTGAAAAAAATAAAATTATTTGACATAAATTTATTTTCAGTGAAAAATTCGGAACAATTGATATTGATAAATAAACTATAGTGACGTAGAGTCAAAGAATATAAGTGTAATATTAGTCAATTATGCGATTTCAAAAATCATTTGACATAATTTATTTTTTTATAAAACAATATCCGGAACAACTTTATAGTTAATGAAATATAAATCAGTATAGATATTTTTATTTAGCATTTATATGCTAGTTACATTAAAAAACCGGAACAATATATTAAAGATCACGTGTTTCTTGCAACGTTTAAGCATGGAAGTAAAATCTAATATAAGTTAGAAGTGCAAACAAATATTTATTGGCATTGATCTGTTTTTCACAAAACATCCGGAACAATCTATTATAGATACTGAAAACTATACCAATATTTCTGAATGAAAAATTAAAGGTTAAATCAGATTTACAATTGTCTTTAGTGTTATTTGTTAATCTAATCGTGACGGACAGACCGACCAACAGACAAAACGCACAAAAATAATTTTTTTTTATT